AAAAAACAGGTCAGCCAGATTGGAAGGGAGAGAATTCAGGGAAAACCTGAGACACACAGGACGAGAGTCACAACCTGCAGCCAGGAGACCCAGATACTGACTTTACCCCTGAAACGTGCTCAAAGTCAACGTGCCCCAACACAGTCTTGTGAGATCACCGGGCATTTTGTACTAAAATGATCAAATGTTCACCCCAAAATGAAGCATGCAGTATATTGTATTTATCATTCATGCTAACCTCTTGATCACTAATGCGCATTGCTTGACTGAAGCAAAAATAAATAGAGTTTATTAACGAAGGTCCGGGAGGGATAACAACAGCCGAGTTCAATCAGCCTCAGCTCTCAATAATTCGTAATCGCTCCTGACGCCATTTCCTCACCTAAAGAATTAGGAGTATAGAATTATAAATCTATACAGTGGTGTGAAAAGTGTTTGCCCCCTTCCTGATTTCTTATTTTTTTTGCATGTTTGTCACACTGAAATGTTTCAGATCATCAAACAAATTGAAATATTAGACAAAGATAACACAAGTAAACACAATATGCCGTTTTTAAATGAAGGTTTTTATTATTAAGGGGGAAAAAAATCCAAACCTACATGGCCCTGTGTGAAAAAGTGATTGCCCCCTAAACCTAATAACTGGTTGGGCCACCCTTAGCAGCAACAACTGCAGCTGCCCCCTTGGTCACTCCCCACTGCCACGGGAGTCGAAGTCTCCTCGTCCTCTGACCAGGAGTTTAGCCCTCAGCTGAGCCAAGTTTTATTGTGAGTAAAACACTGCATAGACCTTTCAGTCCGCCCAAACTCTTGGGTGGTGTTTTTCCTAGTGAAATACATTGTCCCTTTGCTTCTGGAGGGTAGTGCACAAACTGTTCTCAATTACCCTACTGTACGTGGCGAAATAAAAGCTTAAATGCGAAGTATAGTTGACGCTCATGGACAACTATCAACCGGTGACGATTCTTTCTTCTGCTGGTCTCCTGCGCGGCCGCGTGTCATCGCCGCGCCCTCTCACGCGCCTTCTGCCGAGACGAGTCGCTCGCTCGTCTGTGGATTCGGTCGCTTCTCCCCTCGTGCCGCTGTTCGCACGAGCCCGTGGCGGGACTGTTCCCGCAGGGGGAGGCCAGCAGGCTGGCCGTGCCGTCCCCGGGCACCGTCTCTCTCTCTCTCTCTCCAGCGCTACCGGAATGTCGCTCAGCCCGCCTTTTCCCACGCCGTCTCCGTGTCCCGGGCGGGCAATAGGAGCGAGACAGAAGTGACGGTGACAACGGCCTATCGAGAGCCAGGCCAGGTGCTCACCCCCTCAGGGCGTATAAAATACTCTAAAAGCACGGAAACTGGTTTCTCCGCTTCTACAGGGAAAGCTAACAGTCTGCAGTTCAGCTGACTCTTCCCACCCGGTAAGATGTCTGTGTACAGCCTCCCGGAGCCGGCTTACCCGATGCCCGAGCGCTTTTCCCAGCTGATCAAACCTTCCTCTCGGCTGAGCTCGCTCACCGGCCTCGTGCGCAAGGCGAGCAGCCTGGGCGGCATCACGCCCACGACCCGCATCTCCACCTCCAGTCTCTCGATGCCCCTGACCTTGTACGGCGGCGGCGGCGGCGGGGGCTCTTCCGCGGGCAGCTGCAGCAGCCTGATCGGCGCCGACGGCAAGGCCACCATGCAGAACCTGAACGACCGCCTGGCCGCCTACCTGGAGAAGGTGCGCTCGCTGGAGGCCGCCAACGGCGAGCTGGAGCGGAAGATCCGGGAGTGGTACGAGAAGAGAGCGCCGGTCGCCCGGGACTACAGCGCCTACGAGAAGACCATCGCCGGCCTGCGCAAGCAGGTGAGGACGGAGAGGGGGGCGGGGGACCAGGGTTTGAGAGCTCTGTCTGCGTGACCTGTGTGGCTGAGAGAGGAAGGATCAGGTTCCCCGTGTCTATGAGGAAAATTGTAACTGTACTGTACTGGGCTGCACAAGTAAGAACGCCGTCCACAACTCTGGGCTCGGCTTCTTATCGGATCATTAGAGGCTCCCAGACAAATGTTACGTGTGTTCTGAGAACAAAAATGAATGACGTGGTCAAACGAATGAAAACGACCCCCTTCGAACGGTCAAGTCTCCCTCTTTCTCAGCGGCTGCTGAACCAGAAAGACGACTTGGATCCAGATCTCATTTCAAAGTCGGCCAGCCGATTGTCTCCTCATGCCGACGGACAAAAGGCGCTGTCCCCTCAGTATAATAGCGCCGGCGTCGTGTTTGTCAGGGGGCTCAGCGGAGACCCGCTGGCTGATCTGCAGCGTCCTGCGTTTCCCAAAGCCGGCAACACGCACCCTGCTCAACACGCCTGACTGCGCCCAGGCAGCTGGAGAGCTTGGGGGGATTCGGGAAGTTTGACTTGTGAAAGGTCTAATAAAGGAACAGCCCAGGCTGAAGAGAAATAGGAACAGGGCTGTGGTGATATTGTATTTCTGTCTGGTATAATATTTCTGTCTTCCTCGCTGCTGGAATGAGGTGGCCGTTGTGGACCAGTCACATTCTCGCTGTTCTCCGGCTCGTTCCCAGATCGGCGCCATGACCCAGATGAACGCCAAGATCATCCTGCAGATCGACAACGCCCGACTGGCCTCCGATGACTTCAAAGTCAAGTGAGCCCTCGCCGGCTCGGAGTGGCTGTGCGGAGAGCCGGGCTGAGCCAGCCGGGGGGGGCGAGAGAGAGGGCGAGGGTCCCGGCAGGGCGCTGTCCTGTCTGGGGGGGGCGAGAGAGAGGGCGAGGGTCCCGGCAGGGCGCTGTCC